ATTCAAATGTTAGCTGTAAAATTCAGTCAAGTTTTCATTTAAATTACTAACAAATTCACAGAGCTTAGACAATTTCAAAATGAGTGATCATTTTTTGCTTTTGTGCAAACCCGACACTAACAATTTAACCATTTAATTAACTTATTATAATCAGTTTTTATAAAACAAATTGTTTTTCAATAGGTGATGATGTGCTAGATATGATGTACTAAATATTTAAAAAAGAAATTTGATGAATATAAACTTGACTTATGTTTTATATAATTTTTCTAAGAAATTTACGTTCATATTTTACGTCTTGACACCATGGAATTGCAAAAACATTTAACTATTCTAAACTAAGATACCATGTGGTTAGATTGGAATTCTTTAAATATAATTTCTAATAAGAAAACAAAAGAATAAAATGTAGAGAATTTTATCTAGTTTTTTCTATAGAATATACAACAAGAAATTTGACAATTTTGCCTTTGCGAATTCTGAAAATCTCTTAAAATAATAGTGCTAATTCAAGACAAACAGCACTATTTAAACATTTGACTTTAGATATTGGTTTAAAGAACATTATATCAATGAATTTTATAAAGAGCACTGTTTGGATAAAATACAGTATAAAATGGTTCTATATTGAAATGTAAATAAATATAGAAATTTATTGATGTATAATCACCTAGAATTAATTTCTTTTGCTTAATGAAAATATGTTAAACAGTACTTATCCAAGGTTTTTTTTGGAGGGGCCATTCTGTATTTAGTACATTTTGTGCAAAAACTACTCAACTCTTTAAAACATTTATTATTCATTAAAAGCAATGCATTTTACAAGCTAAAATATTATTTACCCCACATCTAGTTCAAGATGATATATTAAAAAAAACAAAAACATTTAAATAAAATACCCTTTTTATAAAGGTTATTTTATAATATTGACACTTTTCTTGTACCCACCTACACTTTATGAGAAAGGGGAGGGGGGAGGAGAAAACATGCTGACCTGGAAATTTTAAGATTTTTACTTTAAAACCGGGAAAAATCAGGGAATTCAAAAACTGATTTGAGTGGCCACCCTGAAATATAAATAAAACAATTTTTCTTAAATAAAGAATACATGAAAACTCTGTTGTGTTCTTTCTTTTCAGAATCTAAAACATGGAAAAGATTAACAATCAAAAATAGTATTTATTTTACAAAATATCTTGACTTGTTTTGCTGTTAAATAAAAGTATAACAGTTTTAGATTACTACTAAACATCAAAGTGATTTAAACATCAGTATCATAGCAATTGATAAAATCTGGAACGAATCCATAGTTACTTACCACTGTCATTTTTACTAGACTGATCTCACAGTCAAACAGATTTTTATAACATAATTTAAAGATACTTTAGAACAGTTGTTTTAACAATCAATTTGCATAAGATACTTCCAATAAAAACTGGAAAAGTCATAAGTATTATTTCAAAACTTGACGAAACTGGAGGTCTGGGCACAACTCACCCAAATATTTTAGCACGATCTAAATTTTTGTGAGAATTTGATCAAAAATATCCTTAGTTAATAATTTCTTCTCAAAACATTCTTTCATTTCGATTTCATGCTTTATACACATGGTGCATAGCGCTTTTAAAAAGTGCTTATTTATAACTTGTTATTTATAAGCCCTTAAAGGTGCTTTTTACATTGGTTGTTTTTAAAAAGTGTTTAATTTTCCCTTCTCGAAAATGAGATTTTTTTGCCACATATTATGGAAAAGCGTGCTTTTCACATTGTTTTATTCAACGTTCTCACAATTCATTCAACCACAATCTATTTCTGCATACCGTCGATCTGTAGCGTATGAAAGCACCAATCATTTTACATGTTTGATGAAATACTTAGTCTGCATGTGCGTCTACTAAGCTGAGTTCGGTGAGATTATTGCACTCTTGTGTGCAACTCTACTGCATTCAATTTCAGACTTCATTTTCCACCCTCTGATATCTTACCAAAAAATATCTCTATCATTTTATAATTACTAATATAATCAAGAAAAGAGTCTTTCGTCATAAACTAGTTGTTTTATCATGATCATGTAAAGTATTTGAGAATTATTTTGTATTTTGTTGATGTATATAGTGCTTAAAAAGTACTTAAAAGGTGCCTATTTCTTGTTATAAAATTTTGCTATGCACCCTGATACAGTTGTTTTTGCAGGAGGAAGAGGAGAGACGAATGCAGGACGATAAGAGTAAAACTCCTGGCCTGGCCAGCACGTGGTCAAGCAATCTATTAAGGAGAAGATAGTAAATATTGCTTAGTTAATGTACTGTTCTCATTCTGATTGTGTTTTAGCTTCCAATGGTAAAAAATGATCATTTCTCATTGTGCTTGTGATCTAGGTTTCATTTTGTTAATTAAAATTATTTTATAAGTTTCTGGTGTTTTTCATTGTATTTTAAAATAAGTATTATTTTATAAGTAGGCTAATTACATTATAATTACCAACATGCCACTTTTTAAGATTCACTTAATTTTAAAAAATTTGAATCATTCTTTTTATTCACTTAATTTACAATGATTAAATCCAGTTAACTATTCAGTATTTACATAAATGTGAAATATATGTAATGAAGAGTCATTCATAAATTTATTATTTTTTTAAATAAATGTTTAGTTTCATTCAAAACTGCTGAGACACTTAATTTCATACTACTGTATATCGAAAATGTATACAATTTTATTTATAAATATATTCTTTAGGTTATGATTAAAGTTAGGTTTTATTTACAATGAAAGTTAATTAAAATTATTTTATAAGTTTTTGGTGTTTTTCATTGTATTTTAAAATAAGTATTATTTTATAAGTAGGCTAATTACATTATAATTTCCAACATGCCACTTTTTAAGATTTCCGCTTTTTTCCATCATAAGTGATTCTCAAATTGCAAGATTTTGATATGTTGAGCTAGGAGGCCATCCACGTATTCTAAAACAAAAGTGAATTATCTATTCAATATGTTTCTGAATTTTTTAAAAAGAATTTGGCTTTTTAATTGTGTTATGTAAAAGAAAAATGAACTATACTTATTTACTGTTTTTTAGTGAAATAAAATCATGTATGATGGAGATATATTTAAAAAATTTGAATCATTCTTTTTATTCACTTAATTTACAATGATTAAATCCAGTTAACTATTCAGTATTTACATAAATGTGAAATATATGTAATGAAGAGTCATTCATAAATTTATTATTTTTTTAAATAAATGTTTAGTTTCATTCAAAACTGCTAAGACACTTAATTTCATACTACTGTATATCGAAAATGTATACAATTTTATTTATAAATATATTCTTTAGGTTATGATTAAAGTTAGCTTTTATTTACAATGAAAGTTTTATCCAAAGAAATAATGAAACATGAAGTAAGGCAAATTATTATATTTCGAAACAAACAATAATAACAAAGACTAAAAATCGATAGCCATACCTGCCAAGTCTCCTGTTTTTTAACACTAGAAAGGCTGAAACTTAGTATATACCTATATTGCCCAAAAGCAGACTGTGAAAGAATAGCTAATGTGTAAAAAAAAATTTTTTTTAAATTAATTTTAAATATTATTTGCAGTTATATAGCAAGTTATTGTAAATATTAAGAGTAAAAAAAATTATATGTTGTACAAAAAGTCACAAAATTCAAGAAATTGTGTCATTATATACAACATTGTTTTCCTTATTGAAATTAAAAAGCAGTCTAAATGACTTGGTTATCTGGTGTTAACGAAGACCCCTGTATTTCACGACTATCTTCTGTTTATCTGTATATTCTCGGTATTTTTTAAAGAGATTTTTGAATAAAAAAAAAATTTTCGATAAAAATTTTTATGAAGAAAGACTTGGTTTGCTGATGGCAAAAATACTTTTCTTATTTCTTAACAGTTGGTGCTTTTCCAGTGCTACATCATTTTGGGAATTTATAGTTTAAATAATTATGAATAATGGTTTTAAATTTTTTTCTTTAGATTAGGATTTATATACATACTTTTTTCTTCGCTATATATAAATGATTATATTATTTCCAATTTTGAATTTCTCTTTTTGATTTGCATGATTATGCATAATGTATCTAGTGAATTCTCTTTTATTTTATTTCTCCAATGGCAGGTATAGATGACAGTTGTTTGAAGATTTTAAATGATATTTTTCATTGGGCAAAATATGTGGGTGTCAATAAATATATTTTAATTATACCAATCTAGTTTTATAATTACAAGTGCTTTGAACAATGAAAGACATGCTTTGTCCAAAAAATCTTAGAATACTTTTTTTTCATTAATGTATACTGACCTAAACTTATTTGCTCTTCATTGAATATCTAAGATTGCCTTCCTGTCTTTAATATTGTCAGCTTAAACAAATATAACCATGATTTTATTCATTCAATGATTAGTTAGTAATAATTAAATAATAGCAGTAAGAAAACAGTTTTAGCTATGTTAATATTTTTAAATAATATTTAGTACTATTAAAATATTTTATTAGATAACTTGGCTGGTAAATATTATAAATTTTTTTTTACCAACCTTGGTCTTAAGAGGATGCCATATCACCGGAAAAACTTTTCGTCGCAAAATCTCTTTCACCTATGTAACTAATTTAAAGTATAGAGAAAGTGAATTCAGATGAACTTAAAGCAAGCAATGAAGCTTTAAATACTGAAAAGAAAATTTTAAAATATCAACTTAAAAGTAAATTATGAGATGATAACTTAGGATTTCGGAATCGAGAAGTTCTCTTCCAACAATTTGTTTGCATTTTGATATTTGCATTTTTTTTTTCAGCAATAGAAACTTCGTGACTTACTTTAGATTTGCCTGAACTTGCTTTTCTTTTTTTAAAATTAGTCATGATAGGGAAAGGGAATTTGTAACGAAAAGTTTCTCCCGTGGTATGGTGTCCTCTTAAGCTTTTGTTAGAAATTTAACTAACAAAGGTTTAATGTTATCACATTACTAAGAAAAAATTGTTTTAAGTGTTTTATTTATTTAATAGTCATTTGATGAAAAACCCAAAATTAGAGTGGAGCTTGTTTTATTCAGGGGATCGACATTTTGGTGCTCAAAAGAAGCATTGAAATCAGCTTGAAATTCGAATAACACTCTTTCCAACGTTTTCATATTTTGCGAGTTGCTGAAATGCGTAAACAGCTTCATCTATGCAGTATACATTCTCAATAATGGGTGAAACCTGGAAGGAATCAAAATATTTATTATTTAAAAAAAATTCTTCAAATGATTTTTATCTTGTGCAAAAAAAAATTTTAAATTATGCATAGCCTAAATACACGTTTGCCAGAATTTTTTCTCTGTCTTAATTAAGGGTTGCCACTTCACAGGTTAAACTGGGAAAATACAGGGATTTTAAAAATTATCTAAAATGCGGGGAATTTTGAATTTTTTCTTACAGACTGGGAAAAAACAGGGAATTTTTGTCTTTTAAAAAATCCAGACCTCTCAAAGCACAATCCATGGGATTTATTAAGATGATTTTTTTAGCTATATTAAATTATTTAATTTATTATAGCATTATTTATTTTATGTTCCTTATTTCTCCAAGTTTTTCCAGCAACTAAAACTAGTATCTTTATCCTAGTATAGCATACAAGAACACAGTGACTGAGTTTCTTATTAATAATAGTGTATAATATGCGCAGGAAAAACACAGGAATTTTTTTTTTGCAGATTATGAATGTCAACCCTGGTATTAAAAAAAAAAAAGGAACCTGATTTCATTAAGATACCATGTGTGTTTAATTTTATTACTCACAGTCATATTGTATTAAAATATAAATTGTTTTTATCCTGTTCTTTAAAAGTTACGATGTTCTTTCAAAAAATGAAAGAAAAAACATTTCTAGAGCGAATTATCTTTTAAACTTCTGTAATTTCAGAATTTTTGTTTTTGTTTATTTATTATTATTTTTTTTTATCGATTTAAAATTCTATCTGAAGCAAGCCAGTCATTGGCGAATTTTTTTTATTCCGAAATGAGAACAGAAAAATCAGGAGTATTTCTTTCCTTTCAGAGGAACAAGAAAAGTATCTTTAGAATGTAATTCTGCAGAAAAAAATTATTTGCTTTTGTATTTTTTTCAGCTATTTTATGGCTTCAACTCTTTCTTTACTCTGTTTTTTTTTTTTTTTTTTAAATTTAAAATCTTTAAATATGAAGATGCAGAGTATAACAGTTTTGGTTATACCTATCATTTCAATTTATGTTATTATAATGCTTTTTTTAAATTTCTTGTTGTGTTTTTGTCGGAGAAAATAGTAACTTCGTTAAGTCATGAAAAATTCTAGGAATTAGTCATGAAAAGTCATGAATTTGAAAATCTAAAATGTAGCAGATACCTTGATTGCACCTTATGCTGTTGAACCCTGCTCTTATGAACCTATAGTGAACACTCAGATTTACTGAACACTTACAATGGTCCCTACTGAATTCCCATTTAACTAACATTATTTCCATAGGCTTATTAGTCGACAGAGTCTTGATGAATAATCTAGATACATTGAGCTTGAATAAAAATAACTATTATTTCGTTTAGTCTAGGATTTGTCTATACTGACTACATTAACCACTTTCATTAAAAGTAATATCAACACATTCATCGGATCTCTGTGGCAGAATTTTTTTTCCCTACAATTCTCTCTTGTAATCTAATCAAAGAATGAAACTTAATTTACAAATTCAGAAGGAGACAAAATAAGTAGGTAGCGTTTAAAATAATAAATCAAAATAGAAAAAGCTCTTAAAGCAGATAAATCCAAATTTGTTTTTTATTTTAATTCAGAACGTCAGAATACAATTCGAACAGAAAACGACAAAAATTTTAAGATATGTGTGTTAGCAGGATAGCACTTCATCAGGGGTTTAGATATGTCTTTGCAAGACATTTGTTGTTTTCTACTAGAATTGTATTCTGACTTTCTAATCCCTGACAAAGTGCTGTGGTGCTAACACACATACCTTAAAAATTTTTTCGTTTTCTGCTAGAACTGATTTATATTCTAAATTCTCTCTTGTATTAATACCTTTCTGAGAGACATTTTTAACTGTAGCAAATATATATGTTACTAATTTAAAGTAACAGAAGCACTTTCTGTTTACAAAAAGGAGAATTAATGTATAGATTAGAACAGTATATAATGTTTATAACTATAAACGTAGGATTATTTTTTTTAAAATCTACATATAAAAGAATACATATTCTAATATTATTGGTGATGCTCTCCTGTTCTTAAAAAATATTTGTATTGTTGACTTTTTTAATATTTTTGCTATTTGGGAATACTTTTTACAACATCAATCTGAAATTCTACCTGAATTCTGAATTTTTGAATTAAAGTCTGCAGAAAGGGAAAAAAAAGTTCTGCAGAAAAATATATTTCGAAAACTTCTGCAGTTAACAAAAACAACAACAAAAAAAAACCCCAACTTCTTTGCTTCCCAAATAAAAAAAATTTCTGCAAGATGTGTTATCTTCTTCGACAATGTTGCTAGGGCATCGGATGTTTGTTATATTGGTAAATGCAAAAAAATTTAAAATTTTGATTTTTTTTTATTATTTCTTTATAATAATTATGATTTTCATAAACCGTGATAAAATGTTTTCTTTTTTTCAAAAGAAGTTGCATGTGCAAAAAATAATAATTATTTAATAAAATAAAATAACCTTGTTTTCTTCCACTAATCTGCAAGCTATGTTTAGGTACTCTCTATCATAGGTCAGCGTATCCCAACAAAAACTGTTCAGTTTCCCTTCACTCATCTAGAAAACAAAAATTGTAATTTTTCCATTATTCAATTTTTTACAAAAAGAAATTTTTTTTACGAAGTTATTTCTTTCTGATGAATAAAAATAAAAATATTTCTACAGATCTGCTGCCAGGAATTTTACTTGTTGGATTGAAAAAAATTAGAATATCAAAATACCATTTTAGGTAGCTATTATTTTTACTTCACAACATACACAAGAAAATAAATAAATCTTTAATTTTCAAACTTAATTCCTTTCACCACAATTGCACACTCCAAATGGCATCTTAAAAGCTAAGTTCACATATATGTCATTATAAGGAAAAAATTTGGAAGAAGCATTTTGAAAATGTAAATCCTGATTAGCAGCTGGAGTCTGAACTTGTACGAGGTGTATCTGGATTGTAAGTACCGTTTTTGTAACGCTTGCGTACAAGCATGCCACTCTACTGGATTTGATTTTCCAGCAGACTACTGGATTTTGCCAGTTTCTCCTGGTCTACTGGTTTATTTAAAATTATCCTGGTTTTTGTACATTTTAGAAAATTTTCAAAAATTGAGTAGATTTCCTTTAAATATCTCTTGAAATGGAATTTTTGTACAGATTATTGCTTGCTAGAATATTTAAATAAGTATTACTAATACATAGAGAACCAAACCTCATTTATAGAAATCAGTTCAAAGCTTTTTTGATCTAAAATGTTCAGTTTATTTTTATTCAGAACTCTCTTTTTAAATTAATTAAAAAATTCTTATAACTATCTTTGATGAATTAAATGCCCATTAATATTCGAAGTTATGAGTAAACACAAATATAACATTTCAAGTATGTTTATTGTCAATCATAACATAACTGGAAAATATTGTAGTTTTCCTATTGTGATGACTATAGAAATCCTTAAATTCAACGTATGGGTAAAATGTTTAGCCCATCTTGCAACAATTAGAGTGGAATTTATATTATTTTGTAATATCTTCTGGATTTTTCTGGTTGGAGTCCCTTAGCTGTCAAGCTAACCGTAGGAGGTTCTCTTGGTCTTCCATGTAACTCAAATGCGGGTTAGTTCCATCAAAAAGTCCTTCACGAGGCAAATTTGCCTCGTGAAGGACTCTTAATACTTGATACTCTTAATAATTGATCCAGGAGCTCCCTTGACTTTTGAACTGGGTTCAAAAGCTAATTTTGTTCGTTATTCATTTTTTTAAAACTCTTGATTTTTTTTAGGTCACCCTTCTATACTAATGCCCCTTCCAATAGATCCAACAGATAACAGAAATTTTTTAAATAAGAAAAGAAAAATTTTGTAATAATTTTTTGTTACCCCTCAGCCTCTTGAATAATGATTCCTAGAATTAATGTTTTTTTTATACATATAACCCGTCGTTGAATGGCCGACCCAATTTTTTGGGTTTATGACAACTAATGTTCAACTCCGTCGTTTTGTCATTTTGAACCCAATCCAGAAGACAAGGGAACATCTGGATTAAGTATTGAGAGAAATCTGCCTTCGTGGAGGACTTTTTTGATGAAACTAACCCACATTCGTGTTAAATAGAGAAGAAGACCACGAAAACTACCCACAGTTAGTCTGACGGCAAGGGGACTCTAACCCATGATCCGTCTACCACTGAGGATATTTTACGCCAAAAATGTGGTCGGTGCAAGCCGGACGCGGAATTCGTATCAACCAGCCAACGTTGGGATTCAAACCCGGTTCACCTCATTAATAGGCGAATGTTCTACCCCCTGAGTCAACACGTCTGTAGTATGGTTTAAATAATTTAGGTTACTGGCTACCCATCACAAGTTTAGCTGACAGTTGCTGTGATGTTCCACTGTATTGTTGGTATGCACCGTTTTGACCATTTAACCAACTAAGAATGAATCATACTTTCATCTCACCTACAATTAAAGTGGAAAATCCTGCTTCCATAAAGGCAGCCATCTGGAACTTGAATCTCAACAAACAAACAGTATGTAGTATACCAGTGCACAAAAAATGGTACATTTTCAACTGTTTTCCTCACCAAGCTATTGGTACCCTAATTCCCAGATTATGTTTTTTCTCATATTTTAAGGGTCAGGAATCAAAATCGGTTGAAAAGAGGATGCCTGATTCGGTAACTTAAAATATCGTTCACTCTGATAATATCCTTAAATAGACACATTTAAGGTGAGACTTAGAAAAACATGAAGGTTGAATATTAGTACATAAAAAATCCAATCATAAAATCAAAGGTTATTCAAGGTGTTCCATTTTTTTCTTCTTGTGTGCTGTATAACTTAATTAATATGTCTATTTTCTACTTGCTAAATAGGAATGTCTTTACCTTTTTCATCCACGCCGTAACTTGCATCGCCAGGGCTATGAGGGAACCAAAGAAAACTCCAAATTTATCAGATAACAGCAAGGAGGTTGTAGTGAAGGTTATGACTCTGCCTCCAGGTGAACAGACGTCTAAACACAATGGATGGACTATAGTCCCCATTGAGTTAATCACCATATCAAACCTGATTTACAATACAAAAGGAAAAGATGCAGTAAACAAGCTGACATAGAGTAGTTTTTTTTTAAACCACCAAAAAGAATAAGTGAATATGGTTACATAAATAATTTTATTATATGTAATCAAAAACTCGCGAAAAACTATAACAATTCTAAGTTTTATAATCTTGCATTTATGCATATATATATTATCTTACTACTGGACATAACCAAGTTTAAGTTTTTGGTATTATAGACAAAAATAAAGTTGGAAAATACGGACGTTAAGGAACAAGCTTATTAACATCTGATGAATCACTTTTGAGAAAGGTATCAAAACCAATTTGATTGCATGAATTGCTTTAAANTGTAGTGAAGGTTATGACTCTGCCTCCAGGTGAACAGACGTCTAAACACAATGGATGGACTATAGTCCCCATTGAGTTAATCACCATATCAAACCTGATTTACAATACAAAAGGAAAAATTAGGATGCAGTAAACAAGTTGACATAGAGTAGTTTTTTTTAACCACCAAAAAGAATAAGTGAATATGGTTACATAAATAATTTTATTATATGTAATCAAAAACTCGCGAAAGCTATAACAATTCTAAGGTTTACAATCTATCTATCTATCTATATATATATATATATATATGGAAATGCGGACGTTGAGGAACAAACTTATTAACATCTGACGAATCACCGTTGAGAAAGGTAGTATCAAAACCAGTTTGATTGTATGAATTGCTATAAATTATCTCAGTTTCCTCTACTAATCTAATAGGTTTTAATCTCGTCAGGTTTTGATAATGTCGTATCATCGCTTGTCGCGTTGTCTATTGCGGTAACAAAAATCGTAAATTGACTCACTTCTTCCTCCTGCGTAGTTCCATTTCGTAGTCTGTCACTGTGTAAACAATCACATCATCGGCCTTTAGAACTCGGGACATGGGTAGACCGGCAGTAGGGACTGCTGTTGTGACGTCACCTCCCCAAGACTTCAGCAACTGCATCGCAAACAAACCGAAGGGTGTATTGCCCGCCAGTATCAATATCCTAAAATAGTAACATTCAAAGTATTTAAGAAGCCCTTCTTATAATCGTGGAAAATACCACAGTCAAATATACACAAATAAAAAGAAAATTTTCTGAAATTCGACTCCCAGATAAATTCTTCGTTTTCAAAGTCTCATTGGATATTATTCAATTTAAATACAATGAGTGTCCCACATAGTTTGATAGCAAGACTACCTTCCCAGTAGATCACCGAAGTCAAGCATCAATTGTCAGTGGGAAGGTGAGACGGCCTGCAAAGGTGTGCGCGACCCTCGTTAAACTTTGGGGAGCTTCAGCACAGGATAACATTGCGATGCCTCTGGATCATCCTCTGATTTGTTTCCCAGACTGTTGCCAATTGCGCATCTCTAGTGTGATGTAAACAAAAAACTATTACCACTTACATCCAATGAAGAAAAAAGATTGCCCAAAGATGTTACCCTCAAAGGCCGTCGTACAAGAACAGGTCTGGAAAAAAAAGACATCGTTTGTTGCCATGACTAATTGAGAAAAAAGTTATATATATATAACTTGACTCATAGTTTTTACGTTTTGGTTCAAAGATGGCGCCCGCTCTCATCTCAAAATGAAAATTAGTTTTTTTATCTCGAGAATTAAGAGGACGCCATTCCGCGAAAGAAAATTTTCGAGGCAAATTCTCTTTCTCCTATTACTAATTTAAAATTCAAAGTGTAGAAAAAGTGCGTTCAGGCAAACCTAGAGTAAAGTTTCAATTGCTGCAAAAAATACTTCAAAATATTGAAATGCAAACAAATTATTAAAAGAGAACTTCTCCGTTTCGTAATCTTAAGTTATCATCTCATAATTTATTTTCATTTGTACATTTTAAAATTTTCCTTTCAGTATTTGAAATTTCTTGGCTTACTCTGTCTGAACTCACTTTTTCTACATTTTAAATTAGTAATGAAAGAGAAAGAAAATTTGCTGCTAAAATTTTCCTCCGTGTTATGGCGCCCTCTTAAATTTCGATTAAAAGAAAATAAAAATGTTTAATAGTTCGTAAACTTATGTGATAACAACTCCTGGAGGTCACCTCAATTATTTACCGCTCACCTTTTGAAAATATTGTCAAAGTTTTTTCAGATTTTGAACCATTTGTAAATAAATATTTTTCATAAAACCCTGAAATACCTTTTATTGATGGTTGTCTTTGGGTTCAGTTTAGCTTGATGGATGACTGCATTACAGACTTGTATAGCAGTATAAGGCAGGCTGGCTGCTTCTTCAAACGTTAAATTCCGTGGTTTGAGTGAGACATAGAATTCTTTTACTACGCAATATTCAACCATCAGACCCTCCAGACAATAAGGAGACACCACCCACACCTATTCAGAAATTCACAGCTGTCACTAAACATTTTAGCATATCTCAAAAATGGTGGCAACTACATAACTAACACCCTATCTAACCATTTGTGTTATTCAGTAACTCTAAAATTGAAGCTGTCAATGTTAAAAGCGGGTATGTAACATTTTTACGGATATAAGTTTTTGATTGGTTCTGGAATCTGTACAGGTACAGAATTGGAACGGGATATGAATCATGCCTACACCTCGAGTCACTTCCCCCAGTAGTTTTAGTTTATTTTCAAAAAGGGGTATGTGTAGCACATGGCCCGTTTCTACAACGACTTTGTATAACTACAGCAATAGTGTTTCATGGGGAATCGAATACAATAATTGTACAATAATCCATTACAATAATAATTATTGTAATCAGTGCAAGGATGATGCTTATCAATATAATGTTTTCGTAATTGTGACAAAGTGAGACCTATAAACTTTAATATATGTAGCATAATGCCCCGTTTTTACAATGACTTTGTATAACTATAGCAACAGTGTATCATGGAGTATCGAATAACGAATACAATAATCCATTACAATAATAATTATTGTAACCAGTGCTAGAATGATGCTTAGCAATATTATGTTTTCGTAATTGTGACAAAGTAAGGCCTATTAACTTTAATATTATCATTTAACACTTATCTACTCGTGTTTAAAATAAGCGATCGCAGCGTTCGAATACGCCTTCCCTCTCCTCCTCTTTTCAGTTGTATAGAAATGCACTTCCATATTTTTCCTTTTTTAAAATATTTTTCGTATCTAATTGTTAAAAATATTTTTTTAGAGTTTCCATGATGTTTTCTTTTAGGACTATATTTAATGTAGTTTTCAGTTCCATATAGTTTCCTAACTTAAAACATTTTAATCTCTATTTGAAAATCAAGACGTTCTTCCTTCTTCTATGACTCTCCACACGCTAATGGTGAAGTGCTGCCATAGGTAGAGAGTTTGCCACCTGTAGCCCATTTCGATCGAAAAATTGCAGAGATGGCCAAAGACTCAAACGGAAGCTAACTCAGTTACAGAAAATCTCAATGATGGAACTGAATGAACAATTTCTGTATATTATTGACTGAAAACACGTACTTGTGATTTGCCATCAAATTTTGCAATCTGTCAAAATATTTTTTTAGGAAATAAAATTATTGATTTCAACATTCTTCTTTTTTGTTGTCATTGTTTTTATGTTTGTATGTTAAATGGGGATATGTGCTAAATTTCTAAAAAGCATAATTCCAACAGCTATACCCATTTCTTGATATCAAATACCTAGTCATTTTCTAGACTACCTAAGGAAGAAAATCCAACAATTTGGAAGCAATTAAAACAATCTTTCTACAGTGGACACAGTTTTCTTCAGTATTTCTCGAAAGTGCAGACTTTTTTAGCATACCCCCTTTCAACAATGTCCGCTCCAATTAATAATTACAGTAAGATATGACAAGAGTCAGCAAAGTTATTTTCATGATACAGTACAAATCAAGAATACTTCATTTAGAATATGCATATAAGCAATATTCCTTAAAATAAAATTAGTCCGTTGATCAAACATATACACAATTAAAAGAAAATATTGATATGAATACGAAAAGCTAAGTGGGTAGAATTTAAATATTATATAACTATTTAATACATTCGATAGATTTATGTAAATTTTCAAATGAGAATAACATAATTATTTTTATTATACAACTAAAAACATGAATGGTTTTATGAATGGTTGACCTTGTAAAGCTTAGCACTTTCGGGTGGGTTGCTGCTTCCCCGTGATTTTTAAGCTTAAGCTTAAAAAAGGGCGCCATCAAATATTATACTCGCAGTGTTTACAATATAACGCATTTTTTTAAATTTCGAAGAAATATGAATTTGTCTAGAAGAACAGTAAGAAATCATCATGTCACGTAAGAATCGTTAAATTAACGCGCAATTTTACCATTCATAAGAGTTCTCTGCAGTTAACAAATTTTAACTGGTTGTGAATCGAAAACAAATGGAAGAAAATTAATATCAAAACATAAATACAGTGCAAGGTTTGCCATGTTTTGAGTTTTATCCCACATTTGGCTTTATTTATGTAAAATATCACCGTTAGTTATTTTCAGGGTTGCATTTTGCAGAGCATAGCATGCTTTCTGAGTCTTCCAAATTCATATATGATTTGTTTCGTTGGAATTTAAATTGGAAAAAGGCGTTACATTGTAAACACTACAAGTATAATAATGTTGGATGGCGCCCTTTTTCAAACTTAGGCACGAAAATCAATCGGAAGTTGCAATCCGGAAGTCTTTCGACGAATTTAACTCCTAGTGTTCCATCAATGTTTAGTTTCGCACGGTCAACCATCCATTTCGACAAAAGTTCTGGTTATAAATGTGCTTCGCTTATTATGTAAATTTTGAGTTAAAAATACATAATGAACATGGCAGGAAAATACAATTCTCACTAAAAACAAAAATCTGACTAACTTCCCCTTATAGCACAGAGGATAAAAGCGAAGATCCTCTTCTTCACTGAACCCAAGATTTAAGAACAAAAATCTGAAACGTTTTAAAATATTCCCACTCCCCACTCGCAAACATCCCGATCCCATCAAACTAAACCAGAAGTTGTAAATGTACTTTTCTTATTCAGAGATGGATCAATAGCAGGATCATGGCCCACCAAATTTTCCGGGCCCTTTGCAAAATGTTTCGATATTAAATTACTGAAGAGTAGTCCTGACAGTAAAAAAGAATCGATTGAACTACAAGAGAAACATTCTAAAGAGCAGACAATTAAAGATTATTTTTCGAAGATAAAGTTTACGCATCTACTAACAAAATATAAAACAATGTTATGTCAAAATAAGAAATAGTTAGGCGACCACAAACAATAGATATTAGTGATTTTCGCTAAAGTTCATGCTCAAATAAAAATAGTTAAGGACATTTGGTGACCACAAACAAGAACTATCAGGGACTTTTTGCTGTGTCATTAATCTGTAATTATTCATTAGTTAAACGAACACAAAACTAGCCCACCTTTTTTTCGAATTTGATTAGTGCAATGTTTACGTGAGTTTGGTCGTATCACTATATAGCGAAAATTTAAAAAAAAAAAATGCTTCTTTTTTTTTGTTTAGAAAAACTATTTCTTTCAGTATTTAAAAGAAATAATAATATTGAGGACTTTTTACTTATTTTTGAGGCCCATGCCTATTGGGCCTAGGCGATAATCACGCTCTGCTCTTATTAATTATTTCTTTTGTAATTAAAGAGCTTTGATGATATAATAATTATGTCTGGAAGAATGTCCTTCACTAAAAAAGATTTTAAGCATTAACTCCCTCCCCCCAGCAAAAAATTATAAATAAATGAGAAGATTACCCCTTAATAATAAAAAATATTCCTAAAATATCTAATTTACAGTTTTAAAATTACAACATTGTATAAAATAACTGAAAAAAAAAGTAGTCCGATGAGTTCAGATCCTGAAACTTACGTCTTTTCCAAACAATTTCTGTTCCAGCAGAAATTTTTTTTCTTCATCGTAAGCCATTTTGGTCTAATCGTAAATAAACTATGATTTTTAACGTAACGGGTTTAATTTTATGGATAAAAGAATTAACACATTTGAGACTTATTAAAAGATTATATTTTCACATCAATAAAATCTAAGATTGCGTTTGGAGAAATATCATCTTCTTATATAACCCACGTGTACATTTTTGAACCATAATTCGGAAACAAATTATAATAGCAACAAAAAATTACCTTACCTCGTCACCTTCGAAGAAGGAAGTGACGTCACGACCAGTTTCAAGCACAACTCCAGAGCATTCTCGTCCGAGTATTACAGTGCCATTTGCGTGCTAAAAGAAAAATGCATCCAAATTAAAGTGTAAACTTTTCATTCCCATACTATTTTGCATGAGTGAGTTCCAAGGACCAAAGCCGTTTTAATTTGCTGGACAGAAGGTAGCACCTTTTCTTGGAGCTAGTACTTCTTTCGAAAGCGCAATACAACATTCCCATTTATTCGAACCATCCCATGTCCATACGATTTGACTTGTTTTTTGTTTTTGTTTTTTGTCATTATTTTCTAATATGGAGAAGGGAGCCGCGATGGCTCAGGGGATAAGGCGTTCGAATCCCAGCGATATCTGGTCGATACGAATTCCCATAAGGCTAGCACCGATCACAGTGTTGACGTGAAATATCGTCGGTGGTAGGCGGATCATGAGTTAGAGTCTCTTTGCCGTCAGGCTAACCCTGGGAGGTTCCGTTGGTCCCCCTGTACATGTCACACAAATGCTGGTTAGTTCCATCAAAATGTCCTCCACGGAAGCAAATTCCTCCCAATACTTGATCCAGGAGTTCCTTTGTCTTCTGGATTGGGTTCAAAATGACAAGGCTACGGAGTCCAACATTAGTTGTCGTAAACCCAAAAATTGGGTCGGCTGTTCAACGACGGTTAGAATATAAAATGAAATAATATGGAAAAGACGCGAAAAATAGAGTGCAGAACATTAATTGGAATGTTTCGTGATTCAAGGTGTGATGTTTGATCTACAATTAAATCATCTCAAAGAGTATGAACATTACATGTCATTATGAAACGAAACATTTTCAAAATACACGGGACAGAAAAGTGCTAAAAATTGAGAGAGAGATGATTAAACGCAACGTTAAAGAAATGTCCCGGGAAGGTAAAAATTTATTCAAAAGTGTCAGCTAACAGATCTGTCTAGAGACACTGATGTAGATTTTTTTTTTATTCAGAGTACAGTCCCTTTACAGACGCACTATAAGATAAGATTCTATGTAAAATTATAATTATCAAATAATACTATACAGCTTTATTATTTTTACTCGGATGAAACCGGTTTGCAAGCTCCTGTATCAATTGATTAACATTGGAAAGCATTGCGTTAAAAATAAATACAAATAGGAAGTATATAAAAAATTTACTGTGTAAAAATCCATTACATGTATGTTTAAATATAAAAGTATTGCCTATAAACTCTGGCATATCATGTCATTATTAAAGAACTGCAGTGCATCTACTAATTTGATATAATTATTATAATATACTAATATAATGCTTGACAAAATAAACATTCTATATTTATATAATATATCGTCTAATTTATCCTACCGTCGAATTTATATTATATATCGTCAAATTAAACCAACTGATACACTAACTTAAACAAGTGCAAACCGGCTTCAGTCGCATAAAAACAATAAAATAAAAAAAAAATGAAATCTAATCGTTCCTTTTGCTATCTTTTGTAGCTTCATGACTCTTCTGGTTCCAATCAACAAAAAACTCAATCAAGCTACGTCATCGCCATTACTGAAATTTTTATCATTTAATTACTTTTTGTAAAGTTGGATCATATAAATCATAATCCGATGTTACAAGGTTGGGACTATAGCCAAAGACAACACGACAATGCCATTCCTCCACTCAGTGGCGAAGTTTTATTGTATGTTCGGAGGGCGTAATGCCTACTATATATATATATATATATATATATATTACCCAAACGAGCCTAAATTACTCTCTTGCCAACCTCAATAGTAGTTGATTGCAAACTGGAAAACTGGATTAAAAATATGACTGTCGTTTCGGAAATTTTGAGCATTAGATCATGCAAATTTTTAAAACGGCACGTGATTGTAGAATATGTGATATACCACCTCATTGTTTTGCTTTAAGTAAGATCTGATGGAACTTCCATATCCCTGTGTGATCATAAAATCCACTGTTTCTAATCCCGCTGCAACCACTTTGATGAGCACTTCATCTGGATTGAGAATCTTCGGATAAGACAGATCATTTCGCACCTCGATTGACTATAAAAAAAGAAGAATATATATAGCCCGTGGTCAAATTATTCGAAACACAGTAATTGATTCTATGCAAAATCATAATTATCAGGTGATATATTTACAGCTTTATTGTTTTAATGTGACCAGTTTGCACTCGTTCGCGTTGTTGTATCAATGGGTTAAATGAGACGATGTATAATATAAATTCGACGATTGGATACATTAAACGATATATTATACAAATATATAATATTTATTATCTAAGGTATTATGTAAGTATATTATAATAATTAGATCAAATTATTCGACGCACTGTAGTATTTTAATAATGGCATGTTTTGCACAAGTTTATAGGTTATATTTAAACATACAAGTAATAGGCTATAATTTAGGCGATTTTTTTTATATACTTCCTATTTGCATTAATATACAGTAGAGAACCGATTATCCGGAACGATCGGGATTATCGCTATTCCGGATAACTGATTTTTCCGGTTTTCTGAATCGCTACCAAAAGCCGTTTTTTTAGTGTTAAACCCTGGANCCCAACAAAAAAATTTTTTTTTTGGAAATAATCTTAAAAATAAGAAAAAACGATGAGGTAATACACTAATGATTACTTCTGAAATGATGGTAAGGTAAACATCTTTCAAAAAAGAAAGAAAAATCCCAAAATCTTATAAGGAAAAAAAAATGTTTTTTTTTTAAAAATTGCGGGAAAATTTATCGAATTTCGTTCCGGTTTTTTGGATTTCCGGTTTTCTGATTTCCGGATAACGGGTTCTGTACTGTACTATTTTTTTAACGTCTGTACTGAACTATTTTTTTAAAGTTTACTAATTGATACACGAACGTAAACAAGTGCAAACCGGTTTCAGTCGAATAAGAATAATAAAGCTGTATAACCTGATAATTAAGATTTTACATAGAATCTTATAGTGTGTCTAATAATATGGCCAGAGACTGCTAAAAAAATCCACCATGTCATGAAATTTTAATGGACAAAGCAATTTGATCCAATCGCCATTAAATAAAACGTCATTATGGACCTAAGTGATCATTTGACCTATCTGAGGGGGACTCATTCAAAGTAGATGATGTTTTCAATATAAATGTGAGCACCAACAATCTCGGGTTCTTGACTTGCTCTACTTCCGGTTAGAAAGTATACAGCTGCTTACTTCATACTATTCTACTAAGCGATATTTTCAAACAGATAATTTTGTTTTCAATGAAGAAAAAAAATGATTACATAATTTCTGACCTCAAATCTTCTGTATTTCATAATATATTAAGCAATTCTGGTGAATTTGAAGTGAACATTTGTTTTACTTCCTTAGAGATGTATTGTTTAAAAAAGCTAACATGGTTGTTAGATTTAGGAAGGACTCGTTTTTTACAGTTCATTATTGTTTTTCTAGTTGCAAGCCATGGAATCATAAGACGTTAGTGTTAGCATATTGCCGAGCATCGATATTAAGATCATTTTCGAAATTGTTCCTTAGAATTAAATTTTGAAGCTTGTATATTTTTTGGTTGTTGTTGTAGTTCATTCACTAGAGCTGCACAATGGGCTATTGACGACGGTCTCGTAAAGATCCCTGAGGTTGATCCGAAGACTTTATTTATTTATTTATTTTGGTAAAATAAGAAGTGTCTTATAACGATCCATATGTTTGAAAATGAAAGGTCTTTACAAGACGATTCTTAAAACGCAAATAATAAACCAGGTAACAAATACTATGTTGCGAGTCGAATGGCTTCAAAATACACCGGAAACAGTAACCCGGAAGTATCGGTAGTAAAGAGTTCGCAGTGCACATTGGTGTCATCCATAGTTTTCTAAATTTAACGCGTGAGTCTTGAAATGTACCTGCAAAAAGATCAATTCATTTTTTTTTTAATTGGCTGTCTTTTAGAGATTTCTAATTATTGAACTAGATCCGTAATGAAGCTTAATAATTGTGATGAACTCACCGAAATTCCATGATAAGATCTAAGGGCTATTCCTTTGACTCTTCTCCTAGGTTTAACATGTCGGCAACAGATGGCGTGTAGACTGCTCACAATTCCTATGGTGGCAGCACCCACAATTCCAAACAAAATAGATGATGCAACTGAAAAATAATCGGATGAAGTTTGGATGTAGAAAAGAATTTATTATTCAAAAGATTTATTGTAAAACGAGATAGAACGCTGCGGACAAGAGAAACCTGGCTTCGATACCCAGCGACGAAGAGAGATTTTTATTTTATTTTTGTTTGTTTATTTTATTTTACATTATTTCTGTAATGTGTTTTAACGTGAATAAAATGTTCGAGTTATAAAAATTATTATTTTTCTATCGA